TTTTTCCCGCCATCCTCTGTCATTCTGAGCATCCGATGGCTCCGGGAGTTGTTGGGGCCTCTCAGGTGTGTCTCAGGTCAGCTGAGGTGAGCAGGTTAGAGCAGAGAGAGGGAGGCTCCCTCCAGCTCTGACTCATCTGTTATTGGTTGTTTTTTTTTTCTTCACGCCCAGTTGCTGCTGACTGTTAGACAGAGTCTGAGGACCAGCCGGCAGCTCTCCGTTTGCCCAGCAGCACATCGGAGGGAAATTAACTCGGTACCAGTATAACTGGTATCGATACTTTTGAAAATGAGTATCGTATCCGGATACAACGTTTTAGTATCAATGCTTTTTTGAGTATCGATACTCTGTGGTGTAGCTGAGCTCCGGATGCTGCGGGGCCTCCACGCCCCAAAATGGCCGCCTGGAGTCTGAAGACCCCCCCCCTCCCGGTGTTTACACCCGCGTTTACACTTTGTTTACGAGGCCAGCCCTCAGAAAGTACAGAGTCCAAAGAGGAGACGGACAAATTAATTGGTCAGCTGAGTATTGAGGCCAATTTCTGCCGCTTTTCTGAATTAATCAGCATCGACTGACGTCTGAGAATACTAAGCAGCTTAGGGTGGGGGCGGGGGGGCGGGGGGGCGGTGGGGGTGATGCAGGCATGGGGAAAGGTCTGCTGGAAGCTGTGAACAGCACACGGTTTGTTTTCGCGCTTTGTCTTTGATCAAAGCGTCCCGCTGACCGCTTCCAGTCGAGAATTCAGCTCTGGTCAAATTCCGTTTGTCCGCCTTATTACAAAGACATTAGCTTCCAGTGGCTCAGATCGCCGCTGCTCGCTGATGCCATCCGGAGAGTAAATAACGTCCCTCTGGGATTATTAAAGTGTTTCTGATTCTGGTTCTGAGAGGCTCTGTTGGTAAGAGTCAGCGTTTCCCAGCATTGAGTCACACCGAGCCGGTTCCCGTTTGTCCTGCGTTTGAGACGCTCCAATAACCGAATATCACACAGGAAATGAGCCTTACACACACACACCAGACCCCCAAAAATGGCCAAACAAAGTAAAAGAAGTCATCAGGGTGTCGTCTGGCTTTTGGTGGGGACATTCAGATGCAGTTTTCCAAACAGAAAAACGGATTAATATTCAGATTTATCATAATTAATAACGTCCGACGTGATCGTTTCACGTCTAAAAACACAAGACCCCCCTCATCCAAAGCATCATTTGGGGCTCCCTGCTGTCTGTCCGTGTGAGAGCAGACGATCGGCATCACGTCACGTTCGTTTCTCCGATCTAATCTGCTCGGTAACAGCAGAAGAATTTAGAAACCCTGTAAATGGGAGCCGCGTGTCGTCCTCCAGCTGGCTGTCAGATGTCCGTCTCCTCCCGCTAATCCTTCCATCCCTCCAGATCCGGGTCCATTTCCCTCTCTCTGAACCGGACAAAGCAACCTTTGTCCAGAGAAACTGTCTTTTTTTCTTCTTTTTTTTTTCCAGGTAATTTGGTGCATTTTAAGTGGCATCAACTCGTTTTTTTTTCCCAGCCAAAATGAATGAGAGCAGTCTTTTAAAGGGCCGGTGATGGACTTTAGGGGGAACAATTTATCGTCTTTTTTGTCTTTCCAGTCAAATCCGAGGCATCCTTTAACCACATCTGGAGAGGGGAACCTCTCCGAGGCCGCGTGCTGAGGTGTAATTTCTCCCAATTGGCCAATTAAAGGCGTCTTGAGGGGGGAGGGGCGAGTGGAAACGCCGGAGGAGGAAGGAAGCGTCTCGTTTCTATTTCTATTTGTGGAGAAAAGGCTCCGTCGGAGCCACAAAGTGAGGGATGGCCGATGGTCCCGGGCTCTAACTGGCCGTGAGCCAAACCGGGGCCTTTTCCACCACCGGCTGTGGGGGGGGGGAGGGGCTCCCGATATGGAAATGGCGTTAATTACTTGGCCTATATAACAGATGTGACCTTCATCTTTATGCTCGATCGTATGGAGGAACGGAAAATGATGAA